TCCCTCACCTCACTGAAGGGGCTGGGCATGGCTGAGTCCACACTAATGAAGGAGTCGTCCCCGTCAGCAGAGAGGTTGGAGTTATCAGCCGAGGGAACAAATGGGATCACCAGGTTCACACCCTCCTTTCGCCTTTTGCCATCCAATTCATCTTCCTTTTTCTTCTGGGAACGCACGAATCAGGAAAGATGGAGAAAGCATGAGGACAGGCAGCAAGGGAAGAAAATGATGATGGAACTTTCATTCCTTATAAATGTCTCCATTTCCTTATTTTCAATTAGCACATTTTTAAGAAAGAAAAAGCTCATAAGGAAGGAGAAAAAAGGGTCATAATAAGAATTTAAAAGGCAGGCCAGTGAAACTGAACGGGAGCCACAACAGGCCTGAGCCTCACGGCGCATCCAAGTGCAGCAGTGCAGCACTCCCAGAAAGGCAGGGCCAGAGGTTTTAATACCTTTTATGTACGTTTGTTTTTACTCTTTTTTTTAAACATGCCACATGAAAAACAGGGCCTCACTATACCCAAGGAATAATGGGTTGTTTTTGTCATTTTTTTCAATTTACACGTGAACTCTTAAGGGTTGAGTGACCAGGCTACACTGAACAGTTCTAGAACCAGATTCGGTAAGGCTTTGTCACAGATCAGGGATCTGGAATCACAGAATGTGCTTGGACACATCTGGAAATCATACCCACCCACTGTACCTAACTGCATTTGTGTCTACACCTGTATTAGGGTTAATTTGGTATGTTTAGTGCAATTAATATTGTTACTGTACATTTAACTGAAAGTTCTATACTTAGAGTAGGGATGACATCTAATGCAAACTCTGTAAAGCCTACAATGTTCTGTATCCACCTTCCTTTTCTTTGCTATTACTTCTGAAAGTTAAAGCTATTTTTTAATTCTAAATATTAGTAAGTAATTGGCTAGATATTGATGGTTGAGTCATGAAAGAGAAAGAGAACCTGAGGAAATGGGTAGAGATGGCAGCCCGGGCTAGGAGGGACTTGAATTCCCAGGACTTTTCAGCTTTGTAAATGAAGTGGGTACCAGGGACATCCTTCAGGCTAGAAACGGTTGTGCTTAGCAGCAGGCTTAATTCATAACAGGAAGAGTTGGCAAGTCAACTGGAAGATGATTTAATACAGACATGGCCAAAGAGACACATGGCCCTAATACTAAGCTTGGATAAGAGAAGAAGAAGACCTCCACTTAAAGCAGGAACAGTTTTAATATGTGGCCAGACACTACGCTTCAGGTAAACCAAACAGGCCAAGGAAATGGGTCAGGGACAAGGGTAGGATTTGAGGACCAGAGCTACAGAGATGCTTGAAACTCACATGGCTATCTTGTTCAAGACTAGGTCTCAGAGATGAATGGATAAACCAATTATGGTACATATACACAACGGAATATTACACAATGATAAAAAACGATGAATTCTCAAAACACCTCACAAACGGATGAATCTGGAGGGCATTATGCCAAGTGAAGTAAGTTAGGCACAAAAGGACAAATACTCTATGAGACTAGTATAAAAATTCAAGAGAAGGTTTACACACAGAAAAAAACATTCTTTGATGGTTACGAGGGTCGGGAGGGAGGAGGAGGGAAAACTACTAACCAGATAATAGACAAACGTCAACTTTGGTAAAGGGAAAGACAACACACAATACAGGGGAAGTCAGCACAACTGGACCAAGGCAAAAGCATAGACACAAGTTTCCTAGACACATCCAAACACTTTGAGGGACCCAGTGGCTGGAGCTGGGGACCACAGCCTGGGGGGACATCAAGGTCAACTGGCATAACATAATCATAAAGAAAATGTTCTACACCCCACTTTGGTGAGTAGTGCCTGGGGTCTTTAAAGCTTGTGAGTGTCCATCTAAGGTACATCTATTAGTCCCATCCCATCTGGAGCAAAGGAGAATGATGAAAACCAAAGACACAAGGAAAACATATACTCAGAGGACTAAAGGACCGCATGAACCAGAGACTCCAGCAGCCTGAGCCCAGAAGAACTAGACAGTGCCCGGCTACCACCCCCGACAGCTCTGACAGGGATCACCACAGAGTCCTGGATAGAAAGGGAGAAAAACGTAGAACAGAATTCAAATTCATGAAAAAAGACCAGACTTACTGGTCGGACAGAAACTGGAAGAACCCCTGAGACTATGGCCCCTGGACACTGCTAACTCAGAACTGAAACCATTCCCAAAGCCCACTTTTCAAAGATTAGCGAGGCCTATAAAACAGAAAAATAACACACATGAGGAACGTGCTTCTTAGTTCAATCAAATATATGAGACCAAATGGGCAACTCCTGTCCAAAAGCAAGATCAGAAGGCAGGAAGGGGCAAGAACTGGACGAATGGTCACAGGGAACCCAGGGTGGAAAAAGGCAGCATGTTGTTACATTTTGGGGATTGCAATCAATGTCTTAAAACAATATGTGTATAAATTTTTGAACGAGAAATTAACTTGAGCCGTAAACTTTCACCTAAAGCACATTTAAAAAAAAAAAAAAAAAAAGACTAGGGCTCAACCAGGGCTGGTGAAGATGGGTGGGCAGCACAACTCAAAGGTAGGTTAGAACCAGCACAAACTATTAGGATGTGCTTTCTGGGAGGTGGTAAAATGGTGTCAAACCAACAGCTGCGGGCAGAGTAAGTCTGGGAACCTAGTCAGAACCTAGTCAGGGCTGACTCCTGAAACAAGGGTAAGTCCTGAAGGTTTCCCTTCAATTTACATGCCACTGACGACCAGGGATAAGCATGACTGATACAATTCTTTGGTACAAACAGCAAGATAAGGAAAACCACATCCCACTTTGCAGCTAGCCCAGTGGCTGAAGTAGGAAAATGAGAAGGGAGACAAAAGATAGCCGAACTTCTTGGCGCATACTGGAGAGAGAGAGAGGGACAGACTGGTCAGGGATTTATTTTTCCAATAACAGATGACTTTGAATGGTACATGAGCAGAATTGTGGCAGAAGGATTGGCTGTAATGAGCTCTTAGGCTCTTTCTAAGATTCTACAAAATCTAATAATCTAAGTAACAGCCATCGAATCCATATTTAGCCTCACGCTTTGAAACAGCCCAGACAAATGGTTTCTATAATTAAACTGTGAACACAGATAGGGCTGTCTGTGTTGTGAGTACAGGTCTACCAGGGCCGCATGACTCTTGAGCATTTCTCCTGATCAAACGTCAACCAGCACAGAACCGCTATAGTGACACACAGCTGGAGCTGGACACCAACCAGTGACGATAAGCCGTGCACTCCTCAGCCTGGTCTGCAGGCCCCCCCCACTACTGGCCCTCAGGGTAGAGATACCTTCTCTGCGTACTTCTCCCGCTTGCGCTTGCGCTCCTTCACTCGGTTGGTTTCCTCTTGCTGCCGTTTCTCTTCCTGTCGCAGTCTCACTACCAAGAAAATTAAGCAAGATCTTGAAGAATCTCTGACCTGTACCAATCATACTTCATGGCATTTTTCATTCTTGCACTTCCAAGAAGTGGTATAACAGAAAAAAGTTTTGAAAAAGGAAAACTAACATTTCTAGCTGGATACACCTATATACTGTAAACAGAAATCTGACTCTTACCTGCATTAAAAGATACATCTAATCCTATTTCTACTCTGAAACTAAGGTGGCCGTATCCTCTGATGTTTATGTTCCAAGGTATGACTTCTATCCGTCCAAGGCAGATAACCGGTGGCTTTCTAACTCGGAGAAAGAACAGAGTTCTTGGATACTCTACAGCTTTTGGGTTCAACAATGGTTCCGTTTAATGATTATGGACCGTTCCTTGCCTTTTTTCCCCCTTTTCTTTGCTTTCTAGCTTTTTCGTATCTCTGCACGGAACAGACCAAATGTGGTTGTGGAGATCCCAAAGGTTTTCTAGAAGATGGTGGCAGCAGTGAGAACTATGAACTTACTTTGCTGTTATGCTATGGGAGTCTTCAGAAGGCTCACCCCTAAGTGTGAAACCCACTGTTCTCAAAGGCCAGAAATAACGGGAAAAGGGTCTGTATGTTACAGCAGTGCTTCTCCAACTTTTCCACAGAAACACTGCTCAAGGCCGAACAGAGTGAATTCGTAACTGCTGGGCAGTCTAGGGATATAGCCTTCCTACAGCAAGCTAAACATTTATTTGAAGTTATATTTATTTTAAAAATACATGTGAATTTTGCCTTTTACTTCACAATACACCCTTCTTAGGATTTTAATATAAAATATTAATATAAGAAGTTTCCCCCAAATAAAGCCTTTGGCTTTTCCTACTCTTGGCACACAATCATGTACCCCCTTCCATTTTCAGATGTGTGGAGCTAGAGAAGCATCTATTGCCGGGCAAAAGAGAGTGTTAAGAGGTTTAAAGTACGTACATTTCTTCTCCAACTCTTCATCATCTAGAAGAAGACTAACCACCTCTTTGGGTTTCAAGGTGTCTGGTTTGAAGTTCCCACCTGAAATCACCATCCGCTGAATCTATACCAAAGCAGATCAAAATGTCACCTCCAAGCATCTACTCCCATATGGCGAATATCCAGAAAGAAAGAAACACTATTCTCAACCTGTTCCTCAGGTAAGGCCTCTGGTTTCCCTATCCTTGTTTATCTGACCAGCTCATCCAGATGATTCATCCAACCGAAAGGACAGTGAGAATTTCTAGTCTTAGGACTGCTAAAATATCCAATAATAATACTGAATCATGATTGAAAAAACCAAAAAAAATCATTTCTTTGGAAACTAGTAAATTTGGTGCACATCTCAGAGGCAGATCGAGTTGACACTATTAGGATGAGAGCCCAAATGTCATGCTTTCTTCCTTTGAATGAGAGACTATGTCAAACATGAAGGCCATTCCTTCTTTTTTTTTAGTATTTTTAATTTTTTCCCATACAAAAATTTATACATACATTGTTATGTGACTCTAACTGCTCTCCCCATACTGTGACAGCACACTCCTCCTTTCCATCCCTGATTCCCCATGTCCATTCAGCCAGCTCCTAATCCTCTCTGCCTTCCCATCTCACCTCCAGACAGAAGCTGCCTGTTCAGTCTCTTGTATCTACTTGAGCTAAGAGGCACACTCCTCACAAGTATGAGTTTATGTCCCACAGTCCAGTCCAATCCCTGTCTGAAGAGCTGGCCTCGGAAATTTTAGTTCTGGGCCAAGAGAGAATCCAAGGGCCATGCTTTCCGGGGTTCCTCCAGTCTCAGTCAGACCATTAAGTCCGGTCTTCTTACTAGAATTTGAGTTTCGCACCCCACCTTTCTCCTGCTCCATCTGGGACTCTGCTGTGTTCCCTGTCAGGGAAGTCACTGGTGGTAGCCGGGCACCATCTAGTTCTTCTGGTCTCAGGCTGATGAAGTCTCTGGCCCATGCAGCCCTTTCTGTCTCTTGGGCTAATACTTTCCTTGTGTCTCTGGTGTTCTTCATTCTCCTTTACTCCAGGTGGTTGGGTCCAATTGATGCATCTTAGATGGCCTCTTGCAAGCTTTTAAGACCCCAGACACCACTCACCAAAGTAGGATGCAGAACATTTTCTTAATAAGCTTTGTTATGCCAATTGACCTAGATGTCCCCTGAAAGCACGGTCCCCAGATCCCTACCCCTTCTACTCTGTCCCTCAAAGTGTTCGATTGTATTCAGGAAACTTCTTAGCTTTGGTTTAGTCCAATTGTGCTGACTTCCCCTGTAGTGTGTGCTGTCCTTCCCTTCACCTAAAATAATTCTTATCTACTATCTAGTTAGTAAATAACACTCACCCTCCCTCCCCACCCTCGTAACCATCAAAGAATGTTTTCTTTGTGTTTAAACCTTCTCTTGAGTTCATGAAGGCCATTTCGGTGTCAAAGTTTCCACATGAACAATAGCTGAATCTTGGCAATGGACACCATTGTGATGGAAGAATAAGGAATAGCCAGGGCAGCTGACGCTGCTATCATACATAACCTTACTTCGTTTTCTATTCAGAAAAAATTCTAGCTCCTTCATGATCAATGAAACGTAAGAGAGCCTTAAAAAGTCTTAGCCTAGTCAACGTGGTTGGACTTGCTATCTTCTCCACCAGTATATTAATCCCTTTGCCTTGTGCCTACCTCACTCTTCTCCTTGGCTCTCTGAAGAATGCGTTCTTCAATAGTGCCTTTGCAGATGAGCCGGTACACAGTAACCTGCTTTGTCTGCCCCAAGCGATGGGCCCTGTCCATGGCCTGCTGGTCCACAGTGGGGTTCCAGTCGCTATCATAGAAAATCACCTATACAGGCAAGATGAGGATACAGCAAACATTGAGTCACTCTCTGGGCAGGCCAGGAATTCTGAGAGCAACCCAGTCCCTCATCTATTTGTAAGTTTGATGCCAGATTTCTACGATATTAAGATAGAGATGATATCAACTCATAAGACCAAGCCGCTCTTTCACTTGCCCCGGACAAAAAACGCATGTTCCTGGCTTTTTTCACAGTGTTCATTTAAAAAGAGCAATAAATATGACTAGTTAACACTTAGGGCTTACTGTCTGCCAGGCATTGTTTTAAGAGAATTATGTGTGTTAACTAATTGAACCTTCACAACCATCCCACGATGTGGTACTACTACAGCTCCTATTTTATAGATGAGAAGGCTGAGGCCCAGAGGAGCAGAGGATTGATAAGCACCACACAACCTAAGTAAGCGGTGAGCCTGGGATGTGAGGGGTGAAAGTCTTCCCTCTAACACTGGGCCTACCTTGGTGGGACAGGTATGGCTCTCTTGGCACTCTCAGGGAGATACGCTCACACCTACAGGGTCATTTCCTGTCCCACGAATCCCAGGGAAGCAGTGTTTAAAAGGCTCCCTGGAGGCTACTGTCAGCTTGTTGAACAGCAATCAAACAACAAAAAATGTACAACGTCCCACGTGGTCCTAAAACCAACAGACTCCTGAGACCTTAGCCTTTGAGGCTGCTATCCACCACAGCGGACCTACTGAAAAACATCTAGTTCAAAATGGCCCTCATCTCTCATGCATTCTCCTCTACATCCAACCAAGTCACTGAATTCAGCCAGTGCTTCTTTAGAAATGAACCTATCCTTTGTACAGCTCCACTGTCACTATCCTCACCATGACGCCTGGATCACTGATGCTCTGTGCCTGGATCACTGATGCTCTGCTAATCTAGTGGGCTCAGTGGATCTGTCTCAGTCTCTTTCTTCTTTAGTCTGTCCTGGGTACCACTGGAGACAAATCTTCCCTGCTACAGACCACTCCACCTCTCTGCCAGTTATGTTGTAACACACCAAGTCCAAACTCCCCTAAATACTGGGCCCTGCTCTATCGAGCCAACTTCATTTTCTAATCTTTCCCTAAACAATTATGGTTCCCCTTTTAGGCAGACAGGTCTTTTCAGTGTTCCTCATTTACATCACATCTGTTTGCACCTTTTTTTGCTCAAGCTGTTTCTCTGACTTAGAATCTCTTAACTCCTCTCACTGGTCCTTTAAGGTTCAGTTCAAGCTTCACCACTTTCAGGATGGTCTCTTGGATTTCTCTAGCCTATAATAATGTGCCCTTTTCCTGAATTTTTACTAGAAATAATAATAATAATAATGGCTAAACACTGTTTGCACTAGTGTGCAAACATATCACACTGAATTCTCACGAAGACTATATATTTTCTCCATCTTATGAATAAGGATGGAGCCCTGGTGGCACAGTGGTTAAATGCTTGGCTGCTAACCAAAAGGTCGGGAGCTCGAACCCACCAGCTGCTCCATGGGAGAAAGATGAGGCAGCCTGCTTCTGCAAAGATCACAGCCTTGGGAAACCCTATGGAGCAGTCCTATTCTGTGCTATAGGGTCGCTATGAGTCAACTCGACAGCAGTGGGATTTTGTTGTTATGAATAAGGAAGGGGCTAACCCGACATCACAGTGAGTGGTTGACCTGAGGTGTGACCTAGCAGTCTCCCCCACACCTGCACTATTAACACCAACCTGCACTGCTTCCCCTACTTCAGGTCTCCACTTAATCACTGAATAGTTTCCAACTATTTCACGTGTACCATATTTTAAATCTTCCCGTGTAGTCTTATTAGAGAACGACACCATCCATCAGTGCAAAGCAGAATTCAACAAATACTAGTTGGTTGATACTGCAATCTCTAAGGGGATTGATCAAAACTAGACAGAATCTAAAAATGTAAACTAAAGACTGACTTATCTCTCTTTAAACTTTTTCTCAGTTATGCTTTTCTTACTGCTTAACACTATTCCCAAGTGATTTTACTCATTTAAAAACAGAGGAAATTCTTATAGCTCTTCTTGGTAGAAGTCAGGTTTGGATGAAGATGGACAACAGGCATCAGCATTTTCAGTGCTTTTGTCTCTACTAATAAGAACCTCACTGGCTCTCTTACAGCACCCCTTTCATCTAACTTTTATATGAGGTATAAATCTCTCAATTTTTAGCACAGGTTAGAATCCTTGGGGAGAGAACTGGTGACTCCTTGCCAAAGAAAAAGTCAATGTGAAAGCGTATTATTTACTCCATATTTTTCCGCTGACTTAAGATTTGGGAGTAAACAATGCTTGCCACATGTAGAAAAATACAGCAAAACTGACCACAGAACATTTTGGAGTTTCACCAGGATAAACAAAATTCTAGCAAATCCAGTTTAAACTTTTAGGAAGAACAAAGGAAGAGAGGACAAGTTAACTAAAAGGAGACTTCCAGCTGGACACGGGGATCACTGCTTGTCCAGCATACCTTAAATGACTACATATGTGAAAACCAGGGGCTGATGTCATACCCAAAAGACAGTACCTTCATCTGCCCAAGCCTGAAGCAATGATTCAGCATGAATTCATAATGGGGAATCCTATATTATGAATCACTTCATAGGTGTTTATCATTCACATTTCTTCCTGAAAATCTCAGTGGCAACCAGGCCTGATTCAACCTAGGTTCTTTTAAGTGCATAACAAGTAAGAAGATTAAAATCCAAGGAGATATGCTTGAAATTTTAACTTCAAAACAAAAAACAAAACAAAACAAACTTAGTGGCTATTTATCCTATAAATGGATTAAAAGAGGTGGGGGAATTTGGGAGGAGAAGAGAATAAAGTAGGATTCTACTTAGAAAAATACTCATCCAGAGAAAAAGAATATGAAATACAAAAGCTAAAAGATTAAAACAGAGAATACGAGTCAAAAACTCAAAACCAAGTCAGCTGAACGGTTACCATCTAACTTGACAACAGACGCTCAATCAGCCACGACGTGAACCGGGGCAGTGTTGGGGGTGACAGTGCCTACCACAGTGGGACAAAGACGACACCTGCATTTGGTAGTCAGGTTTACAGAGCTTAGAGAGACAGTCTAGAGGAAAACAAATAACAATTAAAGGGCTAGAACAAATGACTTAACTAGGAAAGATTACAGCAGGTCAATCCACAAAGCATGGCCCAGCAGTAACTAAGGGGAAATACACGAATAGCACCTGCGTGAAGCTGTGAACACCAAGCTCGGTAGGTGTGGGAACAGAGAGTGAGAGCTGAGATGGGGTGGAGGGGCCGTGCCACATAGGTCAATGATAGGAGGTTTCAGGGCATGAGGGAGTGAAATGGAAAACAGGAAAATTTAGAGAACAACCAGAAAAAGTTGGACCAACACTTGGAGGGTGGAGCTCGTTTTCCCCAAGAGAATGGGTGGAAGTTCCGTCCTTTGGGAGAGCGGAAAGCTGTCCCATGGCATCTCCTGGGACATTAGGGCTGCTCATATTGCGAACTAAGGGACAAAAATTTCCTCATTCTCTCGTTACATGTACGAATTCAAAACAGGTCTGACACAGAAACAAAAACAAATGGTGCAATTTATAGCAACCCCTCAGTAAACAGTCAATCATGGAGCTATTCCTACTTCAGGCAGAATCCAAGAACAAAGGAAAACAGCGAGAGTAAGGGGCAGCTGCCATTAATCACACGCTCAAATCAGGTTTTCTCTAACAGAGCGGGCCAGATAGACTCCCACTGTTTATGATACTAATACTCGTTTACATATGCAAATACCAACAAAGCGCATTCTCAGTCACCAGACGGTGAAGTCAGTTCTGACGTTTTAGGCTGACTAACCTCTTCCTTGGCCATCAGCTGTCCAGGGGATCTCCCAAAGCTAAATAAATCTCAGGGCAAAGGAAAAATGCAAGACAAGCAGTTAAGCCTATTGTGTCTCCAAATTTAACACACACAGGAGTTCACACAAAGCATTACCTAGGAATTCATTCCAATCTTGCTGTCCTATTCTTCTGGGGAACGTGTACAAGGAGCTCCTACTTTACAAGTGAATCTCGCAGAAATTAAACGGGCATCTCTCTAGGCCCCAGAATGAAAAGGGATGCCTGCTTCTACTCCTCCAGCTGTCGGTGGTGGTGGTCGTTGCTGGGTGCCACCAAGTGAGTTCCAACTCATAGCGACCCTGTGTGACAGAGGAGAACTGCCTCATAGCGTTTTCTTGGCTGTAATCTTCATGAAAGCAGATCGCCAGGTCTTTCTCCCACAGAGCTGCTGGGTGGGCTCGAACCACCAACCTTTTGGTTAGCAGCTAAGTGCTTAACTGCTGCGACACCAGGGCTCCTTAGTTATCAGTTAGGGGCCCACTTCTGGTTCTCTACAGCTGGCAGAACTCCTTAGCCTCACACAGACAAACTATGTGAACACTGGAAGCATGATAAGGATCTCACCCCCTAAAATCTGCCTACTTCTTTGATGATGCAAATGAACGACTCGGTGAACTAGTCCTTCAGAAACTATAGACCAAACCCTAGACAGGCAGCCTGAGAAGAAGGGAAGGAGCTTTTAATCAAATGAACACGTTAGAGTCCCCTGGGAGACCTCATCAAGCCTCATGGCCTTAAATATCATCTATAACCTGATGACTCCAAAATACATTTGCAGCCCCAATCCTCCTCCTGAACTCCAGACTCCACTGCCTCAAACCCACTCGTATCTCATCTTCCTCCTATCAGTAACTGGTATCGCTATCATTCCAGCTGCTCAGGCCAAACACCCCAGAGTCCTTGATGCCTCCTGTATGCCCAACATCCAAGCTAGCAGCAAACTCTGTTAGCTCTACCAAAAAAATACACGCAGATTCCAATTATTTCTCACCATCTCTGCAGCTTCACCCCTTGTCCATATCACCATTATCTTGTCTCTAACTCCTAACTGATCTTCCTGCTTCTACTTTTCTCCCCTACAGCCTCTCAGAAGCCAGAGGGATGCATTAAAATACCAAGCCAGATCATGTCACTCCTCTGCTCAAATTCTTCTAATGGCCTCTCACCTCCAAGTCTTTACCATGGCCTACTAAGCCCCATATGATCCGCTTCTGCAACACCCATCCCAATCTCACACTACTCTTTCCTCATACACTCTATTCTACCTACTCTGGGCTCCTTGCTGTTGCCTGATAACACCAAGCATGTTCTCACCTCAGGACTTTGCGCTTATCTCCTCTGCTTGGAATGTTCTTCTTTCTGCCACATATATGCTTTTGGCTTGCTTCCTCACTGTCTTCAGATCTTGGTTCAAGTGTCACCTCATTAGAGAGGCCTGATCAGTCCATATAAAACAGCAACCCCTGATCATTCTATCACTCCTTACCTGCTGCATTTTTCTTCATAGCATTCATATTATTTATTTATTTATTTTTTAAAAAATATTTTATCTCCCCCTGGTAGAAACATAATTTCTAGAAACTGAGGACAAAAACAGAACTCTGTTTTGTTGCAAGTGGCTAGAACAGTGTAATTCCTAGTGGCTAAAACAGTGCCAGGCCTTTGGTGGATGCTCATTAAACATCTGAATGAATGAATGAATGAATGAACTATTCCAGGCATGAGAAATGCAGACATGACACTTCCTTCCCCTGAAGAGCTCCAAGTCTAGTATGTAAAGTAATGCATGACTATCTGGTGTGATTAAGTTGAGTAGCGGGAAGGGTCAGTGTTTTAAGAACAAGCAGGGGTTTACCAGGTAGAAGAGGAGGCTCACGGGGCATTCTAGCTGAGGGAACAGTTCATATACCACAGTGTAACATAGCATGGTGTCTTCAGGAACTACAAGTCAATCGTTATTTCTGGAACATAAATTTTGGAAGGGGAAGTGGTCTGGCAACTAGGCTAGAAAGGCAGATAAAGGCCACAAAATGAAGGGTCTTGTATGCCATATAAAGGAGCTTATACTTTATTTTGCAGATGATGGGGAATCCCTGAAGAGTTTTAAGCAAAGGAGTGACATGATTAGTAAAGAAGAGTATAAACAAACTAACAGAGCAGCAGCATAGCACAGAATGGATTTGGATGAACCCAGGTAATGGGGCTGGGGGCTGAGACTGGAGGCCAAAAAGATCCAGTAGGAGAAAGTAATGAATCTTGCACTCACACTGAGAATATGACTAAGCTGGACTGTATGGGATGTTTAAACAGTAGAGAAAGCAGAGAAACAAGCAGAAGAACGAGAAAGGGCAAGTTTATGCTATCTGATATGGCACCAAGTCAGCCATCCCATCAGAGAACCCACAAGAACAATATCTACCACAACTGACAGTCTTTCCATAAAACGATGGAGGTTAATGATGAGTGTGTTAGATACAGCATCTACCCAGCTATGCCTCCAGCGGTCCTCAGACCCTGGAGCCCTGGCTGAATGGCTGAAGAGTTTTACATGCCAAGGAAAGTACACCTGAGTCCTACAGTTGATATTCTATCTAGTGATGTTACACAATCTGTTTTTATTCTTGCGGGTAGGCAATTCTACTGCACAGCAGTTCATAAGAAGAAAGAGTGGATACAGCCTGGGAGTGAAGACCGGGAAGCACGGGATCTAGTTCCAGCTCTACTGCTGTCAGTCTACTCAAACCTCTTCAGGCCTCAACCTCAATACTCCACAATCCTGCTAGGTTTGCATCCTACTCATACTTGTGGGGATTCTGATGCTTTGTATTTCATGGAGGGGCACCACAACAGCCACATAAAGTGACACTTTTAGAGTCATGCCGTTTATGAAACAATTTCCCACTTATGCATTTTTAAAGTTATTGAGATTGTTATTTGAACACTGGGAATAATTTTGAAATTCAAAAAGAATGCTCTTCTCCCTTTCAGAGGAAGGACTATTCCTCCAAGGAGACTGGGTATGAAAGGATGAACAATTTGCTGAAATGTCTTTTTTATTTTATTTTTTAAATTACCAATGTTATTGCTCTTCTACCACCTTTTAAAGTTTAGGAAATAAAAACATGAGTTTTTACTATAGTGGAATAACACCTAACAGTAATGAAACAATCAATCTTTTCTGATCTGTTCGGTTACAGCTCCTAAAATAAATTGAGTTGGATTGACTAAGTTTTTTTTCCAGTCTGTTGTGATGTATCTCGTGTCTAGAACAGTGTCCAGCACATAGTAGGCATTCATTAAATATTTGCTGAATGAATGTGTAAGAAACTTATTAAAAGAGAATGGCTGGAAAAGTCTAAAAGGAAAGCTAAAATGCTCCAGTTAGTCAAAATGCAATCTGTAGTCTTTTAACATAACCAGAGGCAAAGAAATAAACTAGCTGGTGTCACAAAATGAAGGGTAACAAAAACTGAATGACAAATTCAGAGAGAAAACCTCCATATCCGGGGCATTCATGACTGTGCCCTCATTACTTACTGTATCTGCTGCAGTGAGATTGATACCCAGTCCTCCAGCTCGTGTGCTCAACAGGAACACAAAGATGTCATTCCTGTGGAAGACAGAGGGATACGGTAAGAGGGAAAATTGAAAAGGAAAAATAGCATGTGGCAAAAGAGAGGGACCTCTGAATATAGTACACAGAGTCTTAGGGCTAGAAGGAGTTTTGGTGGCTATCTTGGACTAAGTGTTGTTTCCTTAACACTGTACAAAGGTGCTCCGTTGCTAAAATCAAATGATGGAAACCTTCCAATTTGTAGATAAACTTTTGCTGCCCACTGGTATCTTACTGATAGAAAATACAATAACAACCATGTGGCAAATAGTAACAGAAGAAATAGGTTACTGTGGAAGTAGAGCCCTTTCTCTGTGTATGCAATAACTGTATTGTTAACAAGTCAAACCACTCTTAGATTATACGAAGGGGGCCAGATACATCAGTATTTCAGTGCTTCCCCCAAGAACCATGATTTTCAATAGTTTGGGAACTAACAATTTTTAGTCAAAAATACTCATTTTAAGGTGAAGAAACTGAGTCCCAGAAAAATGACACAAGGCTAGGACTAAGACCCAGGCCATGACTTCTATGTACTAAACTGAACTTAGGATCAATCCAATGAGACAGGTTTGAATTGAAGTACTTTTTGAAGAATGTCAACAGAGCCCCTTACATAGAAGCAATTAGAGTTTTCTCGGTTTCCCTTTACATCCAACATCCTTTTAAAGAAACCTAAAATTACAAATAAACCACCAGGTGTCACTGACACTCATTCCGGCAACAAATATTTACCGAATATCTTCTAGAAACAAGGTCCGTGCCAGATCACAAACGGCAGGCTTTTGACAATGTTTAAGATTTATCTACACACACACCCACACACACACGCACGTGCACACTCACACATGCACGCACACCCGCGCACACGCACAGACGCGCACCCGCACACCCGCGCACGCACATACGCACATGCACACGCACACACAGACACGCGCACACACACAGACACGCACACACACGCGCACACACGCACACACACGGACACACGCACACACGCACACACACAGGGACTCAGTTTTAACTCAATTTTTGCAAACAACAAACATATTTTACGATTATCTTGCATTTTCACGTTCCTGCCACCTAGATTATTTTCCGTAACTTTTCTAAGAGGAATGGACTGTATTTTACTGGTGAGCAAACTTTACAGTCCTCTACATCAAGCTGCCAATTCCTTTCCCTCCTGACTATTGTGAGGAATACAGCTGGAAATTCATCCAGGTCGGTGCTACTCAGACCGCAGCTCACACCTGTCACTGGTCATGAAATCAATCTGGCGGATCTAGACCACATCAAGAAATAAACTGAAGAAACGGAACAGAATAGACAATGTTATAATACCTCACAGGTCATAAGGGTAAGTGCTGCTTTGTGAAATTTATTTCAGATATGGTATACAGGTAAGGGGTCACAATGTAAAATGAATTGCACTCTGTTGGTTTTCAGTAAAAAAAAAAAAAAAAATTGAAGCATACTGATTTAGATTAATGAGCTCCTTTGATAACGTGGAAAGTTAAAACCTAAAACACTCATATCTTAGAATAAATTATTTTAAAAAATCAAACAAATTCCAACACCTAGCTTGAAACTGGCATATGGCATCTCATTATTGGACGGGTAAAAGAATGGGAAAGGGAGAAAATGTTTCAGAGTACCAAGAAATTTGGGAAAGATCCAGTTCCAACAGAGGCCTCTGCATCTACAGGATAGCATGCCACAATATGAAGCAGGATGTTGGAGGGGAAGGGGCAGGAGTGAGGGCAAGGAGAGGACTGCAGAGAAGGGATGCACTCAAGGCAAGTTTCATCCAGGCTCTACTGACAGACAGCCAGAGTGCTGGCAGTGTAAGACCGTGACAACTCGGGTGAGATCATTCCCGTATTTCTACCACAGTACAATCATACCCTAGCAAACACTTGTGATCTGCTAAGAGATTGGACTCCGTAAAGTATCAGGATGCTCTCATTCTTTGATACTGTTGTTCTTCCTTGGTAAAGTCACCTGACCACTGAAGGTGTTTCCTGAATTATAAAATGAGGATGCTATGAATACAGCTGAAGTGACTTAGCTGATGACACAGCAACATCAAACATGAACCTCAGTGAAGGAACGACTCTGAAATAAGCACCTTGGTTAATCACTGAGCTGGACAGGTCCTAGTAGAAACGGTCCACTATCTGCATGCAATTAAACACAACTTTCCTAGAGCAGAGAGTGTCTGGAGGCCTCTTGTAGGTCAGGAGTCTAAAAGCCTTGTATTTCCACAAGAATTCTACTAGTTCATCTTTGAATTTTATTACGAAGCTTAATATTTAATAATGTTTCTTATTAAATGGTCATTTTTTATGATTAAATCACATAGGGAGAATTAAAAAGTTGGAAGGCATCTGCCAAGTTACGAGCACCTTTTCCCAGAGACGGGATGATGTCAACAGAAGCTTGGTACCTAACAGGACCACAGAAGAGTATCTGACCACAACAAAGGTTCAAATAAAAGTTTATTTTGTCAGGGCCATACTAGCCCCTACAGATTAATCCCTCTCACTTGGGCACTGAGAAGACAGCTTTCCCCTATACTCTTCCTCTCCTGCTTTGGTGGGGACAGAGGCAGAGGCTCAGAGGCTCCTCTCTGACACTGGGATCTGACGGGGTTCCTCCATGGCTGGGACTTTTTTGGTAATTCCTGAGGAAGCCCAGCACCTGCTCACTGTGCCTGCTTGCTGTCGGCTGAGGACAGGGGAGCAGGAAGGGAGAAGGCAGCTGGGAAGCACAACACAAGGAGGCATTTCCAGAGTCTGGACAGCTGGAGGGGCAAGTCCCCAGGTGCAGCAATCCCACAGAAACAGGAGACTGTGTACAGACAAAACGCTAGTAAGAGGGATGTAGGTAAAAATAAATGAGTGGAAAAATCTAGAAGTACAGTGGTGGAAAACACTTCTTTTAGATACTAAGTATGTGTTTAGAAGATGCTTTTTAATGATTATCTTTGTGCTCTGTGAAGTAGATGGTATTTAGCAAGGTTTGGCTGCAGTCAATGTAATTTTATCATACTGTAATGGAAAAATAGGATTATAACAATCCTGGGTTTTTATGTCACGGAAATTAGTAGTTTTCATCCTGGATCAGACTGCTGAATTATTTATAAACAAAAACATCTAAATCAAACTGCTGAGAAGCTCTTTTCTACTTAATAAATCTAGTATTGCTAATATGAGCTAGTGTTAGGCGGGCTCTCTGACTGGAAACCCTGGTGGCGCACTGGTCAAGAGCTATGGCTGCTAACCGAAAAAGGGTCAGCAGTTTGAATCCACCTGGTGCTTGTTGGAAACCCTCCGGGGCAGTTCTACTCTGTCCTATAGGGTTCCTATGAGTCGGAATCGACTCAACAGAAACGGGTTTGCTCTGACTGTACTGAATAAAACAAAATCTTAAAGGTAACATGGTGGTTTGAGTGCCCTCTAGGGGGCTGAAAAGGAATCTTAACTCAGAGCCTCTGCTGGAACAGGCCTGAGAGGCTTCTGGGTGGTCAGAGAAGGGGACTATGAAATCACACAGCAAAGACATGCCCTGGTCTCACTCTTCTTTAGTGAAAGACCCACTAAGGTCTCTTTGCACCAATATACCCAAACAGCACTAGGCACGTAGCCAATCGCAGTAAAGGCTTGTTGAATGAATGAAAAAGAGCCAGAATGAAAGAAGACACTGGGGCTCTACAACATTCTCACCAGAAAAGAAAAGTCCACACTATAGTCACTTTTTCTCCTATTTTCCAAAGGGCCACCCTGAGTGTTCCAGTGACTGGGGAGATCCATTTGGTAAATGTCATGGGGTACCAGGAAGGCAAGCAAAGACCAAGGCTCCATAGAGCAAAGATCTTGTGAATGGCTGCTGGGATCACGCAGGTCACGTGCTCTAAATGTTGTCCAGTCAGGACATCCTGGCCAAACAGTCTTTAGTCTCAGTCAGGCTCTTTCCTGGAAGGATCCCTCATAAATAAATCTTGTATGAAGGGAATGTAAATGGCTTTTTATAGGAGTTCTTGTTTACTCTGGCTGATCTTTGAGCCATAGGGCTTTCTAGTTGAAACTACAATTTTTCTTTGATTTTTTTTTCATTAATAATAATAAAAATATTTGGGAAAGCATACTTTACTGTTTCAAAAACACCTGTCTTTTCTCTATATTGGGCTACTGCAGACATTCAAATGTGTAAGTTGAGCACTTTTCCCCCACACGGGAGGAGGGTGTGTGTGTGGGAGGGGGTATCTGTCAATAAGC